TACAGGCTCCTGTCGTGTCTGAACCTATACAGGCTCCTTTCATGTCTGAACCTATACATGCTCCTGTCATGTCTAAACCTATACATGCTCCTGTCATGTCTGAACCTATACAGGCTCCTGTCATGTAGTATAACCTATACAGGCTCCTGTCATGTCTGAACCTATACAGGCTCCTGTCATGTAGTATAACCTATACATGCTCCTGTCATGTCTGAACCTATACATGCTCCTGTCATGTCTGAACCTATACAGGCTCCTGTCATGTAGTATAACCTATACAGGCTCCTGTCATGTAGTATAACCTATACAAGCTCCTGTCATCTCTGAACCTATACAGACTCCTGTCATGTCTGAACCTATGCAGGCTCCTGTCATGTCTGATTCTATACAGGTTCCTGTCATGTCGGAACCTATACAGGTTCCTGTCATGTAGCAAATCTATACAGGCTCCTGTCATGTCTAAACCTATATAGGCTCCTGTCTTCCCTGAACCTATACAGGCTCCTGTCATGTAGTTTAACCTATACAGGCTCCTGTCATGTACTATAACCTATACAGGCTCCTGTCATGTCTGAACCTATACAGGCTCCTGTCATGTCTGAACCTATACAGGCTCCTGTCATGTAGTAGAACCTTTGTTATCGTTGGACTTCCGTATGACTAAACGGGATGCATAGATACGCAGCCACGTCCGGTCGGAATTGGAATTTTAAATCCGATGCTTTATTTATGATCAACTTTAAATTATAGTCATGATAGTATGGACGTTTTGATAGGCACCGTTACGTCGGATACTTTGACAGTATATTTTCTATAAATAATCTGATCATTATTATTTTTTTGGCAATAAGTTTTGTTTACTAAGGTGTATTTTGTATACTTCAAGATTTTTTTTAAAATACGTCTGTTGTCTATCAGAGAAAATTTATCTCAAAACTAACTGCTCTGTGGATTTCTGTCTTACATTCTGCTTACCCTTCCGGAGCACATGCGATCACCCTATGTTTTTGTAGGGGATCGTATTGCTCAGTCTTTAGTTTTCTATGTTGTGTTTTGTGTACTATTGTTTGTCTGTTTGTCTTTTTTCTTTTTTAGCCATGGCGTTGTCAGTTTATTTTCGACTTATTTTGAGTTTGAATGTCCCTTTTGGTATCTTTTGACTCTCTTTAACATGGTTGTCTGTTTAACTGAATTTAAAGTGTATGCTCTTTTTTAATATAACAGCATTTTTCAAGTGGCAGTCCAAATTTCCCGTCGTCCTTCATTTTATTCCAACCACTCTGCACAATCAACAAATTATATCTTAAAATTGTTGATTTCTTTTTGTCATGAATTCAGAATTCATGAAATATTCTCCACTGGACGTTATGAGATCAACAATCAATCACTCGAAACCGACGGTCTGTTTAAACCTATTGGAATTTTAAATTTGAAAGTGTCTAAATAAGATAAATATTCGATCAGTATTCGCAAGAAATGTGATAGATTAATTACAACTTGTGTTGGTGTACATGTATGCGGTGTTCCGACAAACTGGTAATTTCGTCACCTGGGGATATAAATTTGACATTAAACTTCCTATTTTACTATACACTGTCGTGTCATTCCCGTATATTGCATAAGGTACATGTACCATATATTCAACAGACATACCCACAGGCACTCGTCTCTGACAAAATACGCATGTGTATAACGTCACAGTACTCAAATTGCACCCATTTAGCAAAAATAGCAGCGGCAATGTTACAAGTTTTCTTAGAGACCAAATAATTTGTATTTTTATGATTTGACATTATTTGCACATCTTTCAACGTAGCTAAATATATTTAAATATACACAAAACGCTCACAGAATTTATATATCAAAAGATGAAGTATTCACTTGAAAACGTAAAATCTAGGGAAACGTCACTATGTGACGTCCACAAAAAGTCAACTTTTAAAAATGAGCAATTAAAATATGTTACAGGCATTCAATTTTTTTAAAAATGAATACTAAGCATGGAATATTGTCAAATTGTTCTAAATATTTGAAGAAATAAAACAAAACATCAGTTATTCTATTTTTACGGATGCGAATTTAAACATGGATGCAATTTGGGTACTCCTCATTACAGAATCATGGATCGTTTGGATTTGGTTCAAACCCATTTTTCTATGAACTATATAGCAAATAAGGATACATCGACAAAATGAACACAGAATGGAAACTTTTGTCTCGATCAAAAATAAACGGAGGCGAAAAAACTGTCAAAATAGGTATTTTTCAGAGACAAGTGCCTGTGGAAATACCCATACACATGCATTTTACAGGCTTCATTTTGAAGGACTCCAAATCGTAACGTTGAAACAAATAAGAATACAACGAAAAAACAAAATATAGATAAATAAAAAAAAAACTGCTTGATAACAATATTAAGTTAAATTTTGCAATAGTGAAGAATTCCTATCTTAAATTCACATATATATGTACGTAATATTTTTTATTATTTCTTTATTCCATTTGTTATTGTTTAGAGACCAGCGGAAGCCCGACTCCGGGTGCGGGATTTTCTCGTTGTGTTAGAGACCAATTGGTGGCCTTGGGCTGTTTTCTGCTCTTTGGTTGTGTTGATGTCTCTTTGACACATTCCCCGTTTCTATTCTGAATTTTATCTTTATATAGACGGAAATTAATTCAGGAAAGGATTTACCCGACTACAGTTCTAGAAATTCATTAGGGATTGAAATGAAGTTTTATATATAATGCATTATGATATATATCCAAAATGGGTCAGACGGAAAGGTCATAGTTTCTAAGAGATTAAAATGAGTGTGGAAAACTAGTGTCTGGATTGTAATCTATTACCACAAATGGGATTGCAGTAAACTATTCAGTGCTGCACACACAGATCTGAGTGTAGAAAAAGTGTGTCTGGATTGTAATGTATTACCACAAATGGGATTGAAGTAAAATATTCAGTGCTACACACACAGATCTGAGTGTAGCCAATTTTCAACTGTTACACTACTGTATTGAGTTGTGGAATGGTTGGTCGCTAAAACTTACCATACACCGACACCTGTTTTGCTTTTCCAGATCCAGTAAACTATAGTCTAGAGGTTGTTGTTGGTTTTCTATCCATCATATTTTTTTCTTCTTAAAATATTGCTCGATTTGCAATATTGCTGTCCCATTTATAAATATTTTTCCATGCGTGCGCATTACCGGTAAACTGAAGATACGTTTTGTATGTTTTTATAAGGAATCCTATAAAACGTTTGCATTTTTTTTTTGTCTTAAATCATCACCCAGTGGCAGATCCGGGGCGGAAAAGGGGGGGGGGGGGGTCCGGGGGTTGGAAACCCCCTTTTTTCAATGCATTTGAATGGGGACATATAGTAGTAACCCCCCCTTTTTATCCTGGGTTAGGAACCCCCCTTTTTATAAATGGCTGGAACTGCCCCTAATCAGCCACGGTTATATTATTCTTGTTCTCAAAAGTAGACGAACTGCTTGAACTGATACTAGTCTAGACTTAGATAAAACATTTAATAAACATGTTGATTAGTCACTATAAGTCAATATGATTTACAGAAAACTTCAACAGTAGATATGCTTTGACAACTCAACTAAATACATCCCTTTTCATGTCTCTACGTGTAGTACTATTTTTATCAAAAACTTTGTTTTATATTCCAATACCATATCCTTTCTTATTAAAACTAATTTATTCATACATTTTAAAGCTATGTTTTATTTCATTTTCATATTCTGCTCTATTGGGTGTATTTAAATATAACTTAGTTTATATGTGGCCTTCACTTAGACGGTGTCACGTGTTTTTATCGATTATGAATTATTATTTAAGTAAAACATAAAACTTGAAGTTATGAGAAATACAAATGATAAACAACCACAAAAAATAAATTGATTTGAATACACCAAAATAACTAAGAATCCCTTGTCCTCAGCTCCAACGACTGTATTATAATGGGACATGTTTTTATTCACTTGATTTATATATGAAGATTTAATTTAGTCAATTATCATCGGCTATTTGGTGATTATGTCTATTTCACAGTTCACTTTATCAATCTACCTACATTGACGAATAAATAACTAAAATCACGTAAAATTACTTTCCGACAGAAGAGATATCGTATCAATCTCGATGCAGAGGTCAAAGCGAGTGTTTTATGTGTGGAAATATATATAATTATATGTACCAACATACCCCCTCAAAAATACCCCCCCCCTTTTTTCAAGTATAAAGAGTTTTGTGGATTCTATCGTTTTTCGGTATAGGCAAGACCATGAGTGGTGGTTATCAGGGTTTTTCTTTTTACGATAGGGGACGACCATTTGATATTCTGAAGCAAAAGGTGGGCAAAGAGGATTTTTTTTAACATTCAGGCATAAAGAATGGTATTGAGTATTTGTTCATTAGACAGACACAAAGATATTCAGATTAAACCTGTATGACACAGGACCGATATGAAATGCCTGTACCAAGTCAGGAATATGACAGTTGTTTTCCATTCGTTTGATGTGTTTGAGCTTTTGATTTTGCCATTTGATATAAAAGCACTTTCCGTTTTGAATTTTCCTTGGAGTTCTGTATTTTTGTTATATTACTTTTTAAGCAAGATATGTTGATGAAAACTAACGGGACGATCATTTGAAAACGGAGGATGGGGTTGCAGGAAGGTTTTGGAAATTTTGAAATGAATATTGTGACCTGGTAAGAACTAAAAAAAAATCTTTGCCTTAAGACATTATGAAAAAAAGAATATTCTGCCCCATTAATTGCACGAATTAAATAGGTGTATATAAATTTGAATTTTGTAAAAAGCGAAATCAAATTGCTGACTTAGCAACGGGTGACAATGAATATTCTGTCGTCAAAAATCTTCCTTGTCACCCTTAGAAAATCAAAAGGTCGTCCCTTAATTCTTGAAGACCATGATATATTTCTGTTATCCTCATTTATATAAGCTGGTGATTTAAATGGTACTTACCGAGGTAGTTATAACATACAGTGTAGTACAATATACCTTTGTATGTTAACCTTCCTTTAAGCATGTGAAAACACCTGTTACATAAACTGTAGTAACATTATTATTCAAAGTAACATATAAATAGCAGATTTATATGGCAAGCCGTTTTTACTATTCATTCTAACTTCAAGATATCTAATAAATTTTAAAAGATATCGCATATAGTTTATTAGATATCGCATATAGTTTATAAGATATCTTTTATAGTTTATAAGATACCTTACATACTTTATAAGATATCTTATAAAGTTATAAGATATCTTATAAAGTTATAAGATATCTTATAAAAACTAGATTATATAAGATTTATTATATATTATATGAGATATCCTATATATATATTATATGAGATATGTTATATATTATATGAAATATCTTATATATCATGAGGTATCTTGATGTAAGAATAACTAGTAAAACGGCTTGCCATATATAAATAGCAGATTTAGCTATTTGTATCGTAAATATTTTCATCAATAGGCATAGGTTATCACTAGACCACGTCGATCAGATGGAATCCAAACAAAAAATCTAAAACAGAGAAAAGAATATACAAAGAGGTTCCAATCACCCAAACTATGAAGGTCTTGATAGGGTTTACAGAATAGAAAATAATGGACAATAGGCGCAAAGTAAAGAGGGGAAAATAAAGAGTAGAGAAAAATAGGCAGAAAAATATAGAACAGTGAATAATGGGGTGCTAAGATATAAAGAAAGGAAATAATGGGTAAAATAGATAATGAATAGAGAGAATGGTCTAAAAATTAGATAATAAAGACATGAAGGACCCTCATTTAGACCCTTAAATATTACTGAAGAGCACATGTTTACCAATTGTTTTTCAAAATATTGCTGATTTGTCCTCATTCGGTCCACATATCTCTACTATCGTCATTCTATCAAATATTTTGTATAGCTATATTATTAGAGGTCGGTCAATTAAACGTATATCCAATCGTATCAGATACGTTGGCGAATACTTATATTTATCCTGCAATCGACCTTTCTACTATACTAATACAGATGTACAGATAACACGAAGCGATATACAAACAAATGTACAAAATTAATTGCAGGATAAAAACAATAACTGTTTAGTGTTTTAAATATCAGATGTATTTGTACTCGACTCGAAACAGGAGTAATAGCTCGCTGAAGCTCACATTACACCTGTTTCTTTGCCTCGTACACATACAGCTGGTATTTAAAGACACTAAACAGTTATTGTCTATATAAGGGCATATACTATTATCTTACCTCCTATACAATTCTAGAAATATGATCTTAATGGTTTCAACAGAAGAAATTGATGAACTATTTGTTTTTGTATAGACCAATGGAAGTATAGGTTCTTAATACTAACGGTACCATAGTCGTTACATAGTGTGCTTGTGACCTAATACGATATATATGGGGTCAGTAAATTCCATATGGGGATTATAGATTCGCTCTCATCCCATATGAAATTTATTGACCCCATAAATATCGTATTAGGTTACTAACACACTATGTTATGTAACTAATATTGATTATCGGTCGTCCCTCTGTCTGTATCACTCTGCTCATCTCTTAATAAAATTGCATGTCACGGCTTTTTGACGTCAAATACGTTGACCAGGCCTTAATAACTTTGACCCGAACATATCACCAACGTCATGATATATGAACCGACGTTGATAAGTTTGACCCGAAATTATCACGTCATCTTCCGGTCTGCTGGTGAAACAAAGAAAACACTAGTTTCTATCATGCAAAATACGCAAATATAACCCGATAAATCGATTATCTGATTGTATGCATATTCATATTGCTCGACACAATATGAAGCCTTTTTGATTTTGTTCGCTGCCCCACTCGACAAAAAGCTTCATATTATGACTCGCAGCTGATATTTTACGATATCAATATGCAGACAACCAGATAATCGGTACTTAATGGTTGCTTATCCATTGGAAAATATTTCATGCATGTTCAGGACGAAGGGCATATACTAAATTTAAATGACCCCGTCGAGTTCAGATAAAAAATTTCAAAACAAAAATAGAATTAACTATTTTTTTTAGGATGTAATCAGACTACGGATCATGGTACAGTTTACAGACATGACAGGGATCAATCATGGAAGATCGTTCAGTTATTTTATTTAGCAACATTTGCACTCGCTTGTAGAACTAAATATCTTTTTGACACACTGACGCTTGTAATTTGTTAATTTTGTACTTATATGTTTACTCATTTAAGACAATCTGTGCATTGAACTTTGGTAGATAGTTGTCTCATTAGCAATCATACCACTTCTCCTTATTTCCATTGAACTTTGGTAGGTAGTTGTCTCATTAGCAACTTATTTTTATATTGACATTATACATTTATAATAATCACGCAAATATATTATATTCGTACTTATGTTACGTAATTGTAAGGGCGTGTACGAGAAGATTTAATATGATAAATAAATAATGAAATGCAGAGCACAAATGTTATCTGATTATTAACAAAACCGAAAAAAGAAACATCAATTATCAGTCACGGTTCTTACAACAGAGCCTAAGTTATTATTACACAAAGACTGATTGTTGTTACGTCCAGTAGCAAATATTTCATGCATATTCAATATAAAAATAAGATGTGGTATGATAGACAATGAGACAACTCTCCACCTGAGACATAATAACGTAGAAGTTAACAACTATAGGTCACCGTGCGGCCTGCAACAAGGAGCAAACCCGCATAACAAGCTATGTCCCGAAATGACGAATGTCAAACAATTCAAACGAGAAAACTAACGACCTAATTTATGTACAAAACAATAAACAAAACAAAAAACAAATATCATATACAAGAACAAACGACACCCACTGAATAACAGGCTTCTAATTATATATAACTTGGGACAGGCACACACATAATGTGGCAGGGTTGAACATGTTAGCCGACGCTCAACCAGGAAAAGTGGTTGAACAGCACAACACAAGAACAAACTGTACAAAAGGATAAATGAAAAACAAATTTGACAAACAGCAACAAAGGACAACCACTGAATTATAGGCACCTGACTTGGGACAGGCACATACAGAATGTGGCGGGGTTTTAAAACGTGTTTGCGGGCGCCCAACCCTCCCCTAACCTGGGACAGTTGTGGAACAGCACACATAAGAACAAATTATAAAAATAGTTGAAAAGGGCTTAGTAACTCATCAGATGAATACAAAGCAAAAACAACAAACAAAAAATGCAAAAAACGCAAAATATAGATCTAAGAGTACTCGCAGTTACTGAAAGTTATTAACAACTGATAAAAAGAATCACATAGCTTAGACTATAATATCAATCAAGACGAAAACAAATTTGTAATAAATACAATAGGTGGGTCCTGTGAAGAGGGCGGGGATTTTTTTAACATAGATTTAAAACTCGGTATCATATCAAAAAAGTAAAAAAAAACCAAAAAATACCGAACTCCAAGGAAAATTCAAAACGGAAAGTCCCTTATCAAATGGCAAAATCAAATGCCCAAACACATCAGACGAATGGAAAACAACTATCATATTCCTGACTTGGTATAGGCATTTACTTACGTAGAAAATGGTGGATTAAACTTGGTTTTATAGCTAGATAGACCTCTCAATTGTATGAAAGTCGCATAGAGTTCCATTATATTGACAACCATGTGTGAGCAAAACAAACAAACATAATAGGTAAAAATGTAAAAAATTGGGGTACAGCAGTCAACATTGTGTTATAACCTTAATCACTATAAAAACAAACAACCATGTCAACAACGAAACACAAAATGAAATATAGACACTCTATAGATAAAGCACATAAGCAAAAATGAAAGATGAAAAATGACCATGGCACAATAACACAATGGCGGGATGTTCAAATACCGAGCCACGCCAAAAGGATATTACCAAAAATGAACTAAACAGATAAGGTTAAAAATATATAAATACAAATAAAAAGAACACTATAACATGTAATTAGATGATAAACAACGTCAGTACCTAGAATCTATACTTCAAGACCATCATGTATTATTTGTGAAGTTGATACGATATATTTATCAACAAGGTCTTGGTATCTTCCGATGAACTTTTTTTTTAAAAAGGGACGATCGAGACGTTCTTTGACATAACCCTGGTTCATCAACTTTCTGCTCAGTCACTGTTGATGTTAAAATAGTGTTTTTGGTATAATTATCTTCAAATACGTATACATTAACGTATTTGATACGATTGGAGATGTTTTAAATTGACCGACCTATAATTGTGTACTTCTCACCTTGATCCAATTTTTGGCAAACAATTTAAAAAAAAGATAGTAACACCCCTACCGGTGAGAATCACATATTATTCTGTATATTATCGTATATCCCTGTTCTTCTTGTCAATACTTTTAATAAAGATCTTCTTTATAGTGTATAACTACCCAAAAAAGCAATATCATAATTTTCTAAAAATAACCGTTTTTTCACTTTCGTTTATTTGTAAAACAGACACAAAATAACCTTCTGTGTTCATTTTAAAAATTGCTGAAAGACGTGCATCATGATAAATGATAATATACGATTATTTTAGTCTATAATAATAAAAGAAATTAATAATAATAGAATGATGCTTGCTTAATTCCAATTAAAAAAAATCATTAGAATCACTTCATCACATTAAAGTTGGGATTAATTGATTTAATCATGTGAATCATGTCTCATAGTTATGAATCATGCATTATGCAAGCGACAAAATCAATTATATAATTTCTGAATGTTGATGGACCATAAAGATAGCGCGTTAAATATTATGGTTCATGCATGGTTAAAAAGCACAAAATAAATATTATTTCATCAATGTACATCTGATCTGGTACTGCAGTGGCGGATCCAGGGGGGTTGGGGTTTGCCAGGGGTTGGAACCCCCTTTTTTTTACGATCAATGCTTTTGAATAGGGGCATATGCATAAGGTTGGAACCTCCCCCCCCCCCCCTCCCCCGCCCGTTTTTAAAAATGGCTGGATCCGCCCCTGTACTGTACCAGATCTAGGAT